CGTCCGTAATTTAGCAGCGTAAGACTAGAGAGAAGGCGGTTAGTTATCACCACCCACCGCCAACTCTTGGGCTACTCTTTTACCAATGAATAGTGGGATTGACCGTAACATTATAACGTCCCCACGACTGAAAGGACGAGCCTGTTTGGCGTGACACAGATAGCGAGTCGAGCGCTCTAACCACCTGGCCATGCCGGGCCTTATCTGTAGGCCAAATTAAGGATTGAATTTTAAAAATTTGTAATTGTGGTTTTAATTCTTGTAAAAGTTATAGTTATCGGTGATATGACTATACTGACAGTTTATAGATGTTGTGTCCATTCCATGGACATATAAAAACTGAAAAAATAAATAGGAAAAATTAAAATTTTAATGGAAAGTAGGGAACGTTGGTTATTCGTATAATTGCTACAAGAAGTATCCAAAACAAAATAAGTGCTGCAATAGAAAGTACACAAACAAAGAGATACTAGTTTGTTTGCTTTTAACAGCAATAATTTTGTGGTCACGTGTCAAAGGACTTTCCATGCACTAGGGTTGGGTTGTACTTTTTTTTTCATTATCAGCATGGTATATCAACCTTATCCACGCCATTACTGCTTGAAAATTTCAAGTTCACAGGTACTTTGGGCTATTATGAAGATTTAAACCATTCTCTTGTTGAAGATCCTTAACACACTTCATTAACTAATATTAAATAACATACTAATATCCTCTTTTGTTAAGCCTTGATGAAGTTTTACTTGAAATATAAGGAATTGTTTCATAGGTGAAATGTAACTGTTTGTGTCAAAGCTTTATCTAAACAAAAAATTAGAAAACTGGAAGAAATAGGGGTAAATCCTGTCATAAATTTGAATACATATTACCCTTTGCTTTTCAATGACTCAAAGCAAGATTTTACATTTTTACCAAGTTTTCAGGTTTCAATGTAATTTTGAAATTTGATTTATAAATGAATCAAGATTGCCAATATTTATCTGTGTAGCATCATCTGCTTTGCAGACTAAAAATCGCATTAATAGTTGAGCACGAATGAGTCAACTCTGGTATAGGCGGACTGAAAAATATATATCAGTCATCATTTAAAAGTATAAAGTGTTTGAATTTGTTAAGTTGGCGCAAGAGTTTTGTCTTTATATGTATTGTTATGAACTACATTTTTAATGTTGTAGTTTGAATGATAGCTGAAGGTCTCAATGATGACGTTCAGATCAAAAGGGTTTAATAAGGCAGACCCAACACCTACAAGTTCTCCGGTGGGACAGCAGTAAGTCTTCCGAGTTACAATGCTCAAATCAGGGGTTCGATTCCTCTCTGTGGACGTAAAAAATAGTCCGATGTGGCTTTTCTATAACAAAATACTCAAACACCTTGAAAGTTATAAGAATGTGACGTCAATTTTTTTCTACCACATTCAAAGCTAAATTATAAATACAGTATAGTTGCGAGGTGTGTAGTTTTTTCAAGATAGTAGAGAATCAATGTGTTAGCTATCGCAGTTATCAAGTTGCTTTGTGCGAGTAACTTGATTTTACGTTAGTCGTATTATTACTAGAGTTTTGGACATCGTTTGTAAGATAGGCTTAGAACAATTTATGACAGTGTATAAGTGTTCAAGATTGTAGAAACGTGAAAGAAGGAAACAAAGTAATTCGTTAAAGTTCACGTGGACTAGACTTTGAATTATTTTCACCAGATAGTTTAAAAGAGCTCGCCAACGAAACAACAATGCTACAGTGTTTGTGTCAGAAGTGGGATATTACTTTGGTGAAAATACAATAGAACTCTGATTAAACTTTAACTTTCATTCAAGATAATTACAAGGGCACAAAATGAGATAGGAAATCTGCTATACATAATAAAACAAAGGGACAAAATAAAAACTAGCAAGATAAAGGGTAGTTAAAGAAGATCAGGAAGAACGAGATAGAAATTTAAAAAAAAAACTTTACAGAAAATTAAAATATAATCAAGAAGAAAGAGATGAAAATAAAAGAAGATTGAGATGTAAGAAACAGGAATTTAAGAGAGGGGTTACAAGAAAGAGGTGTACTATTTAATGCAGAAAATTAATCTAACTGAAGAAGCCACTGGAGGTGTACAGAGAATTACAAGAATAAGACTGAAGTATGGAGAAGCTGTAATGACAAATCAAGAAAGTCAAAACCAAAGCACAAAAGAAGAAAATATCAAGAGCATCAGTGACGGGATAAAACATTTGGAAAATGAATTATTAAATGCAAAAATTAGATCAGCCACTCATCTTTCTGCATTGACTCAGAAGTTCTAGCTTGAGATGCTACAAAATATGGATAGAACTCATTTGGTCTACACCTATTATCACTACTTCTGTGCCACTCGTTAGTGAAAGACCTTCCATGTCTACTCCAGCCATGACACTACCAAATCCAGTTCCAGAATTTAGCTAGCCAGTTCAACATCAGGTAATAGAGAAACCAATAGCCTATGATGGGAAGGTACCATAGGAATCATAGCAAGCTCAGTTTTAAAACATTTCCAGAGTGACAGGGTGTAATAGTGAACAAGTTATCCAACTTGCTGCCCATCTAAAAGGACCAGCTTTGACAACAGTATACAATTTCCAGCTAAGAGCTTTAAGAAATATCAATCATTTATATTTGGTAGGTGTATTATCTAACAGGCTGAAACGTAACACCAGAAAAAAGTATTTAGGGCAAAGTTCCAGAATAATGTATGAAGGACAGATGAGACCTTGGCCGAACTTGGAGAAGATTTGAAAAGGCTTGCCTAATTATTTTACCCAGATGCTCCTCGTAAAATTATGGATTCATTGGCACATGACGAATTTATAGATACCACAGCAGACGAATATGTAAGGATCAGGCTGAAGCAGAGTAGATGTACGTTTTTAAAGGAAGCTCTACAGTTGATATGTAACTTGAATCCATCAGTTGCAGATAAAATATTAACGGCACCATATACAAGTCATGAGAATATTAGATCATGTAGTATTAAAACATTAACTGCCTGTAACAGTGGTCTATAAGAACTAAAATGATTGATCAGTCAGCTAGTTACATAGAATGGGAGAAATAAATCATAAGATAACAGATGTTTGAAGTGTAACGTGAAGTGATATATTGCCAAGAACAGAATGCAAAGGTCTGTATGGAATGAGAACCCCTCCCAGGGGATACTGGGAAGAGATAATTGTTGTAGATGTGGGGAATCTGGCCATTACAAGTTTATAAAAAGTAAATGCATAGGCGATTAAAGCTCGAAAAATATACGGATAAAACATCTTAGTAAACTTCTTTTTATTAAGCGACATTTCAAGTTTGAGTTTGTTTGAAGTTAAGCACAAAGCCACACAATGGGTTATCTGTGTTCTGCCCACCACGGGTATCGAAACCCGGTTTCTAGCGTTGTAAGTCCGCAAACACACCGCTGTATCACTGGGGACAAGTAATAGTGCCATCATCACCTGGTATTCTCAGATGGTCACCTTTCCAAGTATTAACCAGGCCCGACATTGGGTGTCTTCGGGAATCAGATGCGACATTTCAAGCAAACGCTTTTATCAAGCATTTACGTGACATACGTAAAGAGCATATGTTCGGTAGATGGTATATTATGTTCAGGTTTAGCGAGTTAATTCATTTACGTGCTTTTTTCACAAATACACCCAATACTGAAACACATATACTCATCAAGACGAACGTAAATTTCTTTTGAAAATATAATTTCCTTCTTATGGCTATATCTTGATGGTATTGCATCAGGTTTTAACTGTCTTTGGTTTGTGATAAGTTGATAACAAAGCTATTTGAAGAGGGAACCATGATTTTTTAGAAGTTGATAACAAAAGTCATTGTCCATGCAATATTGAAAACAAAGAAGTTTAGAATTTGGAGTAAAACCATTACGTTTAGTTGGTACTAGCTATATCTTTTTTACACCATATTCTTTTTTTTATCTGAATTTAAGCAATGAAAAGCGTACAGAAACTCATCACTATGCACAGCGTAATAAACGAGTGGAATCAAGAAACTTGAAACAAGAAAAAACAAACTCCAAAAGTTCCCTTGTCACGTGACTATGACGTCACTTGCACAGACTACGTTTCTATTGAGATTAAACTTTACAACTATACTGTTTGGAAAAGGTTCAATAAAGAAATACAACACCCTACACAACGTTTACAATTTATTTATTGTGAAAGTTCATTTCAAAACACACAAGCCAACAACCTTCTGTTAAGAATAATTATCACATCTCAACATTCCTATGAAATTCACAATTAAAAATGTGTTAACAAACAACCAAAAAAAAAAACAAAACAAGAGATTAAAACACGTGTAACAACTCGAAGGAATGTCAGAATTTGAAAAGCTACAAGATCAATCTAGTAAAGGTTTGAATGGTAGACACGTATATTATGGCGAGGTACGACACACAAAACTAGAACAATAAATATTCAATGTTACAAATAGTACAAAAATTTAAGGACATAAACTAAACGACCAGTTATTTTATTAATTCCTTTTATATAACTTGATTCCTATAATTTGTACAATGATTAACATTATGAATAATTAACAAGGTTTGACTACCTTAAGGTTGTATGGTGTATTGCCTACCAGTAGCTTCAAAAATTTGGGCTTTAAGTTACCTATTAAAAAGAACACTAGCAGCTCAAATTAAGGTACCAGTGGCTTCAAAAATTTGGTTTTTAAGTTACCTGTTAAAAATAATACTAGCAGCTCAAATTAAGGTTGTGGTGGTGTATTAGTTACCAAAAATTTGGGCTTTAAGTTACCTATTAAAAAAGAATACTAGCAGCTCAAATTAAGGTTGTGGTGGTGTATCACTTACCAGTAGCTTCAAAAATCTGGACTTTAAGTTACCTATTAAAAAGAATACTAGCAACTCAAATTAAGGTTGTATGGTGTATCACGTACCAGTGGCTTCAAAAATCTGGACTTTAAGTCACTATTAAAAAGAATACTAGCAGCTCAAATTAAACTGCCCTAAAATCATACTTATCACAACTCTTTAAAAATAATTTATCTAAATAATTTTTATCTATTCGTTTAAATTAGAATCCATCAGCATGATGTCAAAATTTGTAACACTAGATAAAAAGTAATTTCGTATGCGTGTATATGTACATACTTATACATGTTTTCTCAAGAAAATACAAGAAAAATAGTATATTAGATTAGACAATAGTAAAGAGTCAATAATGAACATGATTTGTTTAACAAACGTTTTTTGTTTCTGCTGTGTGACAAAATATTGGATTTTCTCAAATAATGATCAAAGTATTTAGAAAAGAACCCTTCCAAATAATAATAGTGAATTACGTTCTTGTAATGTAACTAACTTATTTTCTACTTTCATAACTGACATATACTTGACATTAGTTTTGTAGAATAAGAATTAATAGAGCTTTTAATGTGTGTGTTTAATGTGCATGTGTGTATTCCCTTATCATTAACACAAACTGAATTGGATATAATATGTTTTTACATTTTTGCTGCTTCCTGAACAAAATTAAGAATTAGCAATCTTAATCAGCCAAACCTATAATACGGTTAATATAGGGCAATGCAAGAAATAGTTTATCATAGAATCACAGAAAAGAATCATAGAATAAAGAGTACAAGGTAAATCACTGAAATATAACAATAAATGCATTAAAAATATTTTGTCTGTTAAAACCCAAGCCATTTTTCAGACTTAACTGGCACCAAGAAAGGACACTTAAGTGAACTCAACATTTTCTTCATGCTTGGCATAAATTATACAAATCACACTTTCCAAAGATGAAACTCTAAAAAATAATTCTAACAGAGTATTTATGTATTCATAAATCTCACTAAGTTAAACATTTATCAGTTAGAACTTTTAGTTACCTTCCTGTCTTTAAATGCTAATACAATTCGATGAACAAAACATATTATCTAGTGGAAAGTTCTCTCTACTCACACATCACATACTTTATATAGTATGAAGTTTTCTCCAAACATATCTGTCCACTCCATACTTAGCTATCCCAGATCTTATATAGTGAAAAATACTGTCCACATATACCTATTATATATTCGTGATGTTAGGAAAGCACACAGGTTCAAAAGATCAATTAAAGACAAAAATATGAAACCCTATAACCCAAATGCTTTTGAAAAGTTGACCTTTCTTTATCAGGGGTAAACCTGATGAATCTACTTTTTAAAAGCATTTTGGTTAAAAGGATTCTCTTTCCATATACACTGTCACACATCTTGCATAATGAAAACCTAATCCATCCAGACTTGTTACAAATCTTAAACAGTGTAGTCTTCACAACACAAATCTGTCATACATGCTACAAAGTGGATGTCCTCTTTAAACCAATGGCTACTTGTCAGTAGAAAATATATATGCACATCACATCTACTGTTTCTCAGAATCAAATTAATTCATTGCAACCAGAGCAATATACCCCAAAACAAAATTACAGCAATAATACAATAATAATTACTCTATAAAATTTGCAAGCTTTCAAAGATTAAATAATCAAAAGAGGAGGCTTAAAACTTTGGCATTATTACAGAATTTGGGAAAAAAATCAAAGAAAACTATTTGTTTCACAAAAACTTCAGGTACAAATGCCTGATGATGCCTTTACTGGTGAAACCATGGTCATTAATAAATGACCATTTTGTGAAATTGCCTTTGTTTTTTCTCTCAATTCTGTAATTATTGGGTTTCACCAAGTAGTGATGGTTTCAAGTGTCACTTTGGCATGAATTACATTCTAGTTGAAAAAAAAGAAACAAACAAAATAGATAGAAGTGCATTACAAAGTAGTCGCAATATTAGTGCAACTTGTAAGACAAGCCAAATTCATAAAGCATGTAACTTGTAGGACAGGCCAAATTCATAAAGCACACAAGTATTTAATCTTCCACCTATCATATGGTTACATAGCATAATTTTCTTTTGTTCCAATGGTTCAGATCATTAAATGTAGCTCTGGCCTATTATATAAAGCAACCCACCCACATAAGAAAAAAAACCTGTGTTTAATTTACAATTTACATGACTGTTCTCAGAAGAGATCAAAATGAAACATACATTCAAATAAATAAATCTAGTACATTCATTCATTTGTAAAATAAATTTCTATATATTTTAAAGTTCTTTATGTTTCTCAATAAGGTGAAATATATGTATATATATATATATATATATATATGGAAACATTTTTAACTGCTACCAAACAATAAGAATGCAGCTTGACAGATCACAAATCCACAGTGAGTATCAATATATTACTTACAATTAGGTTTTTGGTACAATTTTCAAGAGGATTCTAATTTCAAACAATATTTTATCATTTATACTACATGTAGTAGTTAATAACAGCTTGTTTAATTCTTTCCTAATGGATTCAGTGTAATACCAAACAAATAACATTCAAAACAGTAAAAATAATGTTTTAATAGCACCTGACACAAAAACTTAAGTGTTGTGACTTTTTAAATAGAAGTTTTATGTACAATTTATTAATCTTAGTTCTAGATTGAAACTAAATAATGTAAACCTGAAAAGTACAGGGCTCTACCTATATACATCTAAGCTAACATAACCATGGTAAACGGTAAATGAGTTAATAAATATCAATGTTCTTATAATACTGCTCTACAGTACAAATGATCAGTTAATAAAGTGTAAGATGTGTTTTTAGAATTCACAATAATATAGTTTTATGTAAAAAAAAAAGACATCTTTGTTTTAAAATTAAAATATCAAATGCAGTTACTGGATGCCTATCTACTAGACTATGTACAGCCCTAAATAGACCAAGTCTTAATTAAACAAAAACCTTCACATAAGATTTAGTACCTTAGAATTTGACACTTTTCATATAAAAAAAAGATTTTGCATAGTTTTAAGTACACGTGAGTTAAGTATTTTTATAAAGTGAACAAGCACATAGTCTTATATATATAGTGCCATATTACACATATATAGCTAACTTTCTAAGTACAGTTAACACAACGTGAAATTAGACATAGCAAGAGTATGTATAGTGCGACTATACGTAAAAGTAACACAGTATTCAAGGAAAAATAAAATTATTTTAAGAAATGAGTATTTATGTAATTATTTCTCTAATAAAATTGTTCATTATAATCTGTTACATGACAGATTCTTCAGCACCATTTTTCTGTAGTTTTCACAGATATTGATGATAAAATCATGTCAATTTAATTAAATTCTTATCTACAGTTGCTCTTAAATGTAGTAATTTGCTTAATATGAGCACTTCTTTGTGGAAGGAATCCATTACAGGCTCATAGCTGGGGGAAGAGGATCAACCGAGTCCCCATTGATTCAGAAAGGTCAGCCAACTTGGTTACTTACTGAGACCTACATAGAGTCACAAGGAGTCTCGTTGTTCAAGTATGATTTATGATTTTCATGATTACTATCAGTAACAATGTTACTTACTTAAGTGAAACAATGAAAGCAACAAAACTGACTGATTTCTTAGTAACTTGGAACCTAAATGAGATCATCCAAATTGAGTTCATGCTTTTGTTTTCTGATATCTTAATATGCTTTACTGCTAACATAAGCAAAAAGGTCAACTGATTTTCTTGGGGGGGAAACACCTGTCACACCTGCAATGCATAATAGTTCTATAATAACAGTTTACAATGCATAACAAAGAAATGATTAGAAAGTACAATACCAAATTACGTTTATAAATGAAATCATCTGGCAGCCTTTACAGTGAATCAAACTACAATGGTTCAAATTGCTTAAAAAGTCCTAAAAACAGTCTGTCATCTTTCAAAAGGGAAATCTACTTTTCTAATATAGAATTCAATATAAAATATTACTAGTTTAAAATAAATCCACATGGCAAAACAAAAAAATAATCTTAAAAAACTCTGAATAAATAATTTTTTCTATAAAATCAAAGAATACAAGTGAAACAATTCTAATTTTTACAATAATCACATTTTTTTGTTAAACTAATAGTTAGCAGATAAAGATGTTACAACATAATAACTTTTTTTTTCTAAATTGTATTAATATCCATTAAAAAAGTGCTAGAATGTGTTTTTAAATAATTTCAAAAAACATAAGTCAAGAGATTGAAATACCAAAGCAAAGTCAACCACAATTTTTAAAAATCAACAACCATCTTCTTATGAATGTCTGTGTTCCCAACAACCTGGAAATTAAAAAATAAAACTTTAAGAAGATTCTTACTCAAAAATATAAAAATATTACTCACAGATATAATGGATTTCTTTATAACACTGTATAATTTTCCTTAGTTGTGGTCTGCTTGATTGAGTCATTTAATCCAGCTGAGAGAAATGGTATTTTTGAGATTAAACCTAATCTAAAATCACCACTGTTTAAAAAGACATCCAGCATTTCTTGAAAGATCAAACTGTTCTTACATGATGTATAAAACATTTATGAACTTAAGGAAAACTTTGACATAATTTTTTACAGCAAAGCTCTGTCATACTTACACCACAAAATTCTTCAAAGGAGATCATTCCATCTTGATCTGTATCTGCAAAAAGGATGGTTTTGTCTACAATCTGTTGAAGCTGTGCTTCCTTCAAGTTGCTTCCTACCATCATCTTCAAAACCTGGAAGAGCTCTCCATTCGAGATGTAGCCATCATTGTCCATGTCATAGATTTTGAAAGCAACTACATTTAAAATGAATAAGTTTTCACATGCATTGCTCAAAATGTTTACAATATTGAATTTCTCAATTCGTAAAATCTTCCCAAATTTTGGAAACAAGACTAAAATATCCATTTCTGTCTGTTACCAAAATTCTATACTATAATGAAATAGAATTAAACTGAAACTATACTAACTGTAATTTTCTATGATTTGTTGACTTTTATGATATAGTAACATAATTATACTAGACATAGAAAAATGTAACTTAATTCCACTTCTTGATACTACCCAATTTTGTTTATTGTTTAAACAGTTCAACTATATTTTCATATTAATTTAAATCTTTTCAATTGATCTTGCCTTATAAGACCATTTCTCTTGTACTGTTGAGGAATAGGTCGAAGATCGACATGTTTATGGATCGTACACACTTATTAGCTTAATCCTATTCTTCTTTTAAGAAAATGATTTACCAGTGTGCATAATATCACTTCAGAGAAGGCTATTGTATAATAATAAGCGATTATAACAGAACTGGTTTCAAACATCACTTGCACTCATAACTCTTATTCTTCAAGAATGGTTGATGAAAGCATAAAAAATCTTTTGTCTGATTCTCCTACAAATATTATGCTACATTTCTAAGCTATTTCTATAAATTTCATTAGTAAGTATACACTGTTTATTAAGTATAGTATTTTGATTATCTTAATCATGAATTTTATAGATACTTGCAAACATTCTAATAATGATATCACAGTCCAATATATTGTACACTTATTTTTTATCTTTGGTGAAAACATAACAATAACATATGAAAGAAAATCAGAACAAAGAGAGATTTTTCTTGTTTGTCTTGTCTGGACATTCTTTCATAAACTGTTCTGTTTGTTCTCATTACAATATCACTTATAGATTAAGTAATATATGATTAAGTTAGTCATAATTCAGCTTTAGAAATAACAATTATCTTTAGCCAATATAAAATTACTATTTCCTTGTTTCCATCCAGCTAACACAGAACTGACCTATAATTATGGAACATATAATATTACAAATATAATTGGACTACATTTTTTGAACTAAAAATTCTGTGTTATTTTATCAGTGGTTTATCTAACGGGCATAATCTGTATGTTTGTGTGTCTATAACTGGTAATTCATTGGACCAATTCTTACAAACCTGGCATGTACTTTAGGGGGGGCAGTGTTTTGATTTGACTCCCCTCTCCCCCCATGCATTGAATGGATATGTAAATATTCAAACAGCTTAGAATTTTGGCCAATAATCTTGAACAATTAAAGGAAGGTACAAGAAGTAGAAAAAAATATCCATTAGAGGATGGAAAACATAACTACTTAAAAAAATATTTACTAAAGAATTTTTTCTTGTTGAATTACTCAACTACAATGAATTTTAGGAACTCTTCTTGAACTTTCTGGGTTATTACATTCATTGTTAGAAAAAGTCATATATGGATTACTAAGTATTTTGTTTAAAAATGGTAAAGAAATAAAATAACATTTAAAAAATGAATACATATATACATATTGATTTTCAGCTAATGTAATACTAGATCACATAAAACTTTAGAAAATGTGTGTATGTATATATATATATATTAATTTTGGCTAATATAATACTGAAAAATTCCAACAACTATAACAGATATAAAAAAACTTTTTATATTCTCAAACAATCAACTTGAAATGCTATCAAAAATCTTGTAGTCAGGTACTATATTACCCTACCAATGGAATAGAAAAATAATAGAATTGTTTTTGTTCAAACATCTACATACAAATTTTCAAACAAAATACTGTTAAATAACTAACAATAGCAAAGGAAGTATTACACTAAAAACAAAACATGTTTATACTTACACCTTAACTTAGACTTCTTATCTCCTTTCACACTAAACTGAGACATTCCATGAAGAAACTCTGAAAAAATGAACATTTAAAATGTGAAATCACTATTTTCATAGGCATGTATTTTAAGGTGTTTATACTAAAATATTTTTTATTTGTTATTTGTGTAATTACGTTAATATATTCCTTTACTCTACCTAATATTTCAGAAGTACACACACACATAAGGGATGCTTTTTATTACTAAATGAAAAAAATTGATTTCTTCTAATGTAAGTAATTTCAAAATAAAATTCATATAAATATCAAACATTTTATTAAATTTCTAGTAAAAAAAAATCAGCAGTTAAACGAACTACTGCAGACCTATAAAGCTGTTATTTTTCAGTGCAGAATTACATGAAAAAATGTTTTTTTTCTTTCTTTAAAATTCTAATAGCTAAAACACTGACTACAGCAAATAAAATCTGTTATATTTTTGGTTACAATCCTCAAATCATTGCAACTGTTTTTTATAACATAACAGTTTTGAAAATCATACTTGTATTTTATTTGAATACACCATGGGTTACGCCTCTGTTTCTTTTAACATATAATTCTTTCGCTCATAAAGTTAACAAAAAAATATCTTTGGTAATATTACAGATATTTGTAAGAATATCCAATAAATTACAGTATTTTTTCTTAAACAATTCTGGTGATATTTTCCATACTTCATGTAATTGTATCCAGAGGTGACAAACACTCTGGTCCATATATAAATAAATCTGCATTAAACTAAGAGTAAAAAAACTTTATTAACATAACATGTACCATTTTATCCAATGTGAGTGACTTTTCAATAAAGAATGCTTAATAGTGATATGAATACTGTAAGATTGCATACATAATTATAAACACAGCAATCAAAGAAAAACATATTATCACTTTCATGGATTTTAACAGTTATTTGAGGTAGTACACACATAAATTACATGTGTTTTTTTATAAGTAAAGGAAAAAATTGATATTTCTGTCATTCTAATGTAAATCATTTTCAGGATGGCATCATGTTTAAGTTTTTCTATATGGAATCACAGTAACTGAAAAAATAACAACATAAATACAAGTGCAACACTTCAAACACATTATGAGAATATTTAAAATCTTCCTACATTTTTTTAATTCACAACATTTTTTTGAAAAAAAGAAAGACCTCCAGATTATCATTTGTTCAGAAAACAGAATTAATACAAAAAAAACTTCCTTCAAAGACAGTCTAGGCAATGAATTCAACAGTTTTATATCATAAAACCTCAATTATATCAAATTTACACAAATGCTAGAACAAGGAAATACATAAAAAAGTGAACTTTAAATCAAAATTATAAACAGGACAATTCTTGGATTATTTGTTATTTACAAAACTCTTTGTTTCTATAAAGCTCTTCTCTAGCTTTACGTCAACTCTGAGCCTGAACCTTTATTCTAAACCAGCCAGTCATCATAAAGTCCAGCACAAACATGTGAAACTGTCTCCTGACTTTTGGTTTCCTTCTAAAGGCACAGATTCACTCTTATATCATTGTAATGCCTAAAGATAGAGCTATTCTTTACATTTACAAATGGCATACATAAATAATCATTTAGAAAGATGACCAAGATTTTTTCTTTTAAACATTTCTCCCTTAAACAACTATAGACAGTCATGTAGCATTTTAAGAAATCGCAGTCCTCCTATCGCATTAGAGACTAAAGGAGATGAATACAAGCTTATTTTAACAAAACAAAAAAGAACACTGATGTCCTAGAAGAAAGCATGATAGTGTTAACTAATAAAAAAGAAGATCTTTAATGTAACTGGGCTTTTATAATAATTTAGACTTAAAACTCAAAATAATCATATATACCACTACATATAGTGTATTAACTTTAAAATCAACAGGAAGCCAACAATATTAAACCAAATAACTATAAATTAAGGCTGAAGATTAAAATATTTAAATAAATTAATCATACATCCCTGGTTACTAAAAAGATGAAATTATTGTGTAGACTGATTTACACAGTGCTTATGCGTGTAAAGAAACTTCCTGAAGATACATTATAAATCCCATGAGATAGAAGTATTATAAAACATATAAATATGACATCCAGTATTTCTATTTCCTTAAGTGTTTGTAGAAAACATTATCATTTCTATAACATTTTAATTTTTAAGAGTCAAGTTTTCACTTATTTCTGCACTACAGTAACTTAGAATTGTGAGAATTTTTCCCTTTCTTACCATTAAAATCAACTTCCCCATTTCTATCAGTGTCAAATATGTCAATTACTCTTTGAACCAGTGGATTCTGCTGGAGTTCTGGTAATGACATAAATTCATCCACACTTAAAGAACCAGAGTTGTCCAAGTCCAGCTTTCTAAATCTCTTTCCAAGTCTTTTGATTTCATCAGCATCAACTGGAATCCAAAAATGAAAGTTAAGAAATTGATTCTTTTTTGTATTTTTATGTATAAGTACATGTCTATTATTATACTACTAATTGTGTTTTGTTCACTGTATTGTCTGTCATTTATATAAGAAACAAGGGATAAGAAACAAGAAAAGAACCTAATGTACACTTGAATTTGAATATTGGAAATATAATAATAAAAGCTACAGAAAATGTTACATCAACATGACACAAGAAAGAAAGCAATAATTTTCAAGAAGCATAAGAAAAAAATGTGATATTTTAATTAAATAGAGCAAAAAGATGATGCTGTATATTTTGATACTGTATAGCCTATTCTCAACATATTAAAAAATAAAACTTTATACAGCACATTAACAACAGTTGTACAGTCTGAAACTTTCTTATATGTACATGAATGGTCTTATACCAATTTCTCCTCAGAAAACACAATGTTCTATCTGCATTTTAGGAATCTAGTAACATAGTTAATTTTGAACAATAAAAATAACATTCATCTAAAGAAAAGTATTTTTAGTTATCATTATCTAACAGTTCAGCAAATACATACTGTATTTATTCCCCTAGAACATCACAGGTTTAACACATTCCAAATGGCACATCTAGTAAATCATTATTCCGATAACTGTTTATTTTATAAACAACTGATTTACTCACAATTTGAACAAAGCTCCACTGGAAGTGATGTTTCATTTCCCTGAAATAAGAAAAAAATATAATTGCAAAATCATAATTTAATTCTAAAATATGAGAAATGAGGATATTTAATTCTTTACTGCCTTTCTTATCATCAGAAGCAGCATTATCAAATACATATCTTCATCAATACACCAACAGAGCTAAACACTAACTATTGTACCAGGTCAGTTAATATCACAGTTCACCTAATTATTGCACCTGCATGTAAATGTAGAAGTATGATTAATATAAAGTAAACAACCATTTTCATCATCATCAAATATCCAGACTTTGGCCACTCTTTTTGAATTCTTAAGCTATTAGTAGGGTTCATAAGAATGTGAATACTATATTAAGTTTTGTTACAAGCAAGCATTGCCAAATACCTAAAAAAGTAAAAAAACATTACCTGGTTTCCAGAAATCTTTCACGATTTTTTCATTAAAAATGTTGTGATTTTTCATATCTGTAGTAATGTTTGTAGCAAAAATTGAAACAGCAATTTAAATCTTCAATAAATATCAAAATGCATAGATGATGTCCAAACTAATATAATTCTAAAAACACTTTTACATTTCCCATAGACTTGTGTAGTGTCAAGCATGTTCTCGGTTGCCGAGATGAAACTCAGTGGGTTAGAGCTGAAAGTTTCCTTGAGCATTACATAATTTTGCATCATGCAAAAAAGACTACAGGACTAGTTCATCTTCAAAGCACTGTAATCATTAAATCGATCAAAAAGCAATGCATATATAACTTGCACAAGTAGAAAATTAAATCACAAGTTTTCCTGAGGAAAAGCAGGGATAACCCTATCCTCCTCACTGGATTAAGCAACTAACCTAGTCCCTAGGATTTATTGCTGTCTTGCAAATGTCACAGATATTTGGCAACCAAGGGCTACAAACACTTAACACTGTGTCTTATTTATAAATCTATATAAATATAATAGTACTGTCTGTTGTACATCCATGTAACTACTTTGCAATGTGTGGATAGATCTTCACCAAAATTAGTATAGAAGTTTGTTAGATCCATGTGGAGATACATACAAATTTTCAGTTCTGCATTTTGCAGTTTTTATGGGCATTTTAGCATTTTTACCACTACTTTTTGCAATTACATATCTGGGAAGCAAATTTTCATGTCCTAAGATAACTTTTCATTAATCATAAATTTACAAGTGTGATCAACCAACAAGTACACCTGAACTACACAAAACCACCTTAAATCTACCAAATTGAGCCTGTTAAGAAAAAACTGGGAAGTTTAAAGAATGATAAGGCTCCTGGGCCAGATAATATTTCCACAAGTGTTTTGAAAGAGGCTAATGATTGGATATGTAAACCACTACAATTTTTTTTGTAAATCCTTGAATAGTGGGCAGGTACCAGAGGATTGGAAGTTGGCTAATGTTACTCCTCTTTTCAAGGGAGTTTATAAAAAATTGTCCCATTAATTATAGGCCTATTCGTCTTACATCAATTGTAGGAAACGTTTTAAAAAGTCTGATAAAAAATGCTTTTCAAAGTCATTTAATAAAGTTTAGAATTTTACTGAATAATGAATATGGTTTCACTAAGGGAAAATCTTGCCTTACAAATCTTTTGACTTCTTTGAAAACGTTACTGCTTATGTACACGAGGGTAAGGGTGTAGATTTGTTGTAAATGGATTTTCAGAAAGCATTAGACAAGTTGTCACATAAAAGGCTTGTAAAATAATTATCTCTATAGGTGTGGGGGATAAGTTAGCAAATTGGATAGAAGAGTGGCTATGTGGAAGAAAGCAGAGGGTTGTTACAAATGGAGTTCAGTCAAACTGGATTAATGTCACATATGGGTACCTCAGGAATCAGTTAGAACCTTTGCTCTTTTTGATTTGCATCAATGACATAGATGAATAAATTATCAATAAATTACATAAGTTTGCTGATTATATTAAGGCCTTGAGTATTGCTGGCTATGAGAAGGAGGATGCTGCTTTATAAAAGGATTTAGATCATTTACTGAGTTGGGCAAATAAATGGTAGATGGGTTTTAATTAAAATAAATGTAAGATAATGCATGTGGATTATCATAATTAGCATTGTAAGTATAATTTGGATGGCAATAACCTTAACAGTGTTATGAAAGAAAGGGATCTTGGTGCAGTGGTTGATTAATCACTTAAGCCATCCAATCAGTGTGCTATTGCTAGTGGTAGAGCAAATAGGATTTTAGGTTCTATCTATAGAAATACTTATTACAAGTTTAAAGAGGATATAATTTCATTCTATAGGTTAGGCCACATTTGGAGTATTGTGTTTGGTCTTGGGCCCCTTACCTTAGGAAAGACATTGAACTGTTGGAAAGGGTTCAGAAGAGGGCTACTAGAATGGTGCCTTGAATGGAGGGGTTGTCATATGAATAAAGGTTAGGAGCTCTGAAAAAGTTTTCTCTTGAAAACAGAAACATTAGAAGGGATCTGATTGAGGAGTTTAACATTGTTAAGGGAATTGATAGCATTGATGCATCATCTTTTTTTCATACTTAATGGTAGGACTAGGGGACACAAAAATAAATTTTGGCAGGGTAGGATTTGTATTCAGCTAAGATAGTTTTATTTTTCTAAAAGGGTGGTTGGCCTTTGGAATGGGTTGCCTTTGGATGTTGTGGAGGCAGTAAATTTAAGTGGGTTTAAGAGGAAGTTTGATAACTATATGAGTGATAAGGGCTGGCTTTGAGAGGTTTTTTTTATTTAATAGTTTTAGTTTAGTTTAGATAACAGGACAAAAAAAAAAATGTTTCTTCAAAACAAAAATATTGATGGTTCTTGAATAGTTGACATACCTTTAGAAACATAACAAACAAATAACAAAAAATGTATTCGATAGCTCACTAGCTTTATTACAAATTTTAAGCTGTCCCACCATAAGAAAAAAACAACAAAATAAGCCATCAGTATACAGGCTGATCTTCTCAACCATTATATTTTTGTTTGTTTCGATGTATTGATAAATATGGTATGTTTATTATGTGGTTATATTTTTCATTTGTACAGAAACCAAACGTCTAATTCTTGATTTAGTGACCTTGACCTTTTAATCTCCAAATCAACAGAATCTTCTTTATCCCCAAGGGAAATGACCTGTGAAGTTAGATTTTAAAACTAGTTACCTTGCAGAAAGTAAATGTCCACAAATGAGCACACAGTTTGACAGGCAATATCATCACTCAGGGATCGAAATATTACATTCCCCAGGAATTTAACTTTGCTTGAGGAATTTCATCTTTTTAACTGGTTTTCCCAATTGGGAATGCATGGTCCAGCTGTTTTCCCTTAGTTATGACCAATGAAAGTGAACATATTGCATGGATTAAGTAAAAAACAATTCATGAGTAAATGCAACTTTACTTGAGGAAATTTAATCTTCTTGATAGCTTTCCCTCGAGTGAATGTAATTTTATTCTGTTATTTCTATCCCTATCACTATATCACCCTGAACTTTTTTTTTGGGTCAAGGGATAAAAAATAAATGACATATGCCCAAGATGATTTTAAAAGAAAACAAGTAACATGGGATAACTTGGCCTTTTAAGGCTGTCCTTGCATACACTCCCTTGAGAAAAGTAAAAATATGTACCCACCCCTTAATTCTTAAGAAATCCCTTCTTAAACTCCTATCAAGTACTGATCCACAACATTACCAACATCAATTCATTCCATAAGTCTCCCTTTTAGAAAAATAAAAGTGTCTTAACTGGAGTCTAGCCTAACATTTTCCAAGTCTTAAACTTCTGTCCTCTCATTATCTTTAAAATATAACATATATAAATCAGGGACTTTTATTCCATCTAAGAACCAGATAATCTGGTAAACTTCAATAAGATTAACTCTTACATTACTTTCTTCAAGAGAAAATAAGATGAAAGATCTCAGCCTAACCCTGTAAGATAACACTTCTATCCCAGGAATCATTCTAGTATCCCTCTTTTGAACATATTCTAATAAGTCAGTATCTTTTTATAGATAAAGAAACCAAAACTGTACATAGTATTACAAGTCAGGCCTAACTAGTGATTTTATAGATACATAATTACCTCCTTTGCCTTTTAATAACCTATTAATGAATACAGTATAAAAACACCACTGTGACTAGATGTGCAAAACTATTTCATTTACAAGTACATTTTGTAAAATAATCTAAGTACCACCACACTTCAGAATATGCCTAATATTTTATTGTTCTGTATTTCTATAAATATACTCTAAGATTCTATTAGCTTTACTACCAGTAACATAGCACTGCTTCAATGGCTTGTGTGACTAATTCTCTACTATGTCAAATACCTTTTCTTCGGTCACACTATTGAGTTGGTTTCTATCTATATTAAACAAGGACAGTATCTATATACATTAAATTATTGATACAAAAAAACTAATGGTAATTTCGATACTTCAATTCTATATTTTAAAAAGACCTTACACTATTAACAGACCAAAAGATAAATATTATTATAAGAGTTTAAGTAACATAAATAATAAAATAAAACTTTGTTCTCTCACATGAAAACACCAAAATAAATTTATTCAAGCTAATGGTTGAATGCGTTTCTAAACCCAGAAATAAGCAAGCATCTTTAGATTCAAAAGGTTAGATAAAGCAAAAATAAATAAAAATAATGTATATCTCAGATAACTAGATTAACAGTATTTGCAATATTCAGACATTTTCTGTTTTTTTGTGGTCCAAAGACCAACTTTGATCTCTACAAAATGAATGTGAATCACAAAATTTTAACGACAAAATGATGAATAACACTATCAAAAGACATACCATGGGAAGATAACAGCATTTCCCATAGAAATCTGAACAAAAATATTAAATTCAGGTTCTTTTTTCATGTTTCTTGAGAAATACAAAATAAAACTAGACAAATCAAAGTTCAAGATAGTTGATACTTTAAGCACTTGAAGTGCAAATCTTCTCTCTTCTATCAATACTATAATACTAAATGCTAGTTATAGTAATATGTACAAGTTGTCACAGCATAAAGAGTTGAAATAAATGCTAGTTATAGTAATATGTACAAGTTGTCACAACATAAAGAGTTGAAATAAAAACTAGTAATATGTACAAGTTGTCACAACATAAAGAGTTGAAATAAAAACTAGTAATATGTATAAGTTGTCACAACATGAAGAGTTGAAATAAATGCTAGTTATAGTAATATGTACAAGTTGTCACAACATAAAGAGTTGAAATAAATGCTAGTTATAGTAATATGTACAAGTTGTCACAACATAAAGAGTTGAAATAAAGACTAGTAATCTCCAACTCTTTATGTTGTGACAACTTGTACATATTACTATTACTAGTCTTTATTTCAACTCTTTATGTTGTGGCAACTTGTACATTATAAATATTTATTTCAGGTTACAATTATTCATGATTTGTATTATAGATCAACTTTTAACACACAGAACTGAATGTTAGTGTATGTATTTATAGAATTTTGTATAATTAATATCAATAAGAATATTTGGTTAAATGAACTGAAATGTGAACTACAAAATTATAATATTTAGAAGGTATTTACATCTTTAAGTAATACAGTTTCATTTACATGTCTAACCAATTAAAAGTAAAAAATAAATAAGAAGGTTTTACCAATTGTACAGTGTAGGTAATACAAATATAACATCAGATTCTGTACAATTAAAAAAGTGTGTAATATTCAAATCTAATTAATGAAACTGTAGTAATAAATTCTAATTGTATGATATGAAATCAACTGTACCATCAGTTTTTTTTTATTGAAATTATTTTGAAAGATTTTCATTAGATAATATCCTATGGAAATTTATACCTAGAATATCTTTACTTAATTATTTAGATAGGCCTTATATGACAGAAAAATACAATACTATTGTTTTTTAAATTAATGTATAGGAAATACTAAAATTTAGAACAAACATTATACAAGAAAAATAGTACTAGTCTAAACACTTAAGAAGATCTAAACCTGGTCTAGCCAACATCTTTGAAAAAACTCTCTCAGTCAATGTAGTGGGAACCACATTTCTAATCTTTATATAATAACATTTATCTATAACTAATTTAATTAACCATCAAAAATATTTATTTCCTTTGACATAGTACTCCTTTTACATTGCAATTTCTTGGGATCTTTATATGTAACAAGTATATACACTAAACAACAAAAAAAGTATGTTACACCCAAAGACCTCCACTGAAAATATTATGCTTTGCATTGAGTAGTAACAAAATGTTAGAATAATATGATGTGTGCTCTTGTTTAATTATTATATCATTAACAAAGGGAAGTATAGCATTGCCAGTAGCGTATTGCAGCTTCTCCTTCATGTCTTCATTTAGTTGTTAAACCATTGAATATGTGCAATAATATTACTAGTTTCAAAATAAAGCATTGCACAGTGTGACACATAAGTTTCTAAATCTCAGGCATCTTCTCCATGTGATTAGTCCTGTGTTAGGATTATAAAAATATTGTAATACTGTACATTAGAATGTAAATACTGAGTATAAATATCACAATTCTTAGCCAATCACAGAACTCGTTGCATATCAGCTTGTAAGTAACTTACTTAATCATAATGTGAATAACCCACCATTGAATTCTCAGGTTCAAATGTCACTAAGGTTAAATCACTAAAGTATTCACTGGGCTTTATAATTTTTATATACCTGAAATTTAAGTTGTTTCTATTCACTACAATTTAGTATTGACGTTTATTTATTGTATTTTTATACCTTTGTTATTCGATTAAAGTTTCCGTTTATTCAATATTAAAACATCTTCAAATTTCAACAGTAATAACTTAACAACCATCTACTACTCTGTAGTAGTACTGGTTAATTGACTATAAGTTAGTTATCACTATCAGTATTATCGCATTAATAAACATTACACTTACAGATTATTTAATTAACTACTTCTTTCTACAAATTATTATATGAATTATGTATATATTGTGAAAAATATAACCTATAGTTAATGTTGGACTACATTATTGTTATATATATATTATATACATAAAGTGTAATAATATGAAGATAATTTTACGTAGACAACATTACAGGTATACGATTTAGTTTTGCCGAGTTTCTTTGCTTAAGCCTTACCATTTTTTCACAATATCTAAATCGCCACAAGGTTTATTTTTATTCTTTGATGCAACAAAACTGTGACAAAAAAGAACGAACTTAAACGAGCACGAACTATACAGTTCTTGTAGACTAAATAATTATGGCACAATTCAACAAATTTTGGGACATTCAATTTCAATGCTGTGATATAAAAAATATATATATTTCATTCGCCGCAGACAATCCAAAAATAATACTACCGTAGGTAGCGCTCCCTCTAGTCTCTAGAGTTCAAAATTAAACTACGATATGGCAACGAATTGCTATTTTAGAATTCAGGATAGCCTATAATCTTATACACAACGTTTCATGCTATGCTATCAAGATAAGGAAATGAGAAGATAACGAAATGTTGTTATAAGTTCAATTCCTTTTATTTAGTAAAATCTTTGTTTCATAATATTGCTGGGGTAGGCGTATGATATTGCTCTCTTTTTTTCAAATCTAGTTCATTAACACTGTACCTTGAAGAATATGTTTCACTTTATTTATAGTGTATCAGTAACTTTCACATAAGATTCTTAATCGTTTTGAGTTGTTTTATATTTCCGACGCATATTTATTTGCCCCTCTCATTTACTGTCACTAGAAATTTACTTATTGACTTATGAGATAAAGGAATTCTCTTTATCTGGTTGAGTTAACAAATATCTAACATAAATGAATAAGCTGACGGATACTGATAAATATTTGTCTTCAGGTGCACTTAGCATAACTATATATAGTTTCTTATAATAGGTACTTAATAATAAAAACAAGGATGATAGGCAAGGTCGGTCAAATGCTTTTTTAATAGAAACGACAGCTGCCTGTTAAATTTGCAATACCCAAATTGGTTTTGTTAAACTTAGAGCTTAAGTTCAGCGAATTTTCGCTGGCTCACCAAAACAAAACTGCATTCTCTAAAACTCCATTACAAAAATGTGACGCAAACATAATGAGAAATTCGCGTGTAAACAATAATATGCCAAATACTACCTCACATTAGCGACTCTGTTTCTTTTTATTTACACAAATAATTTCTGGTCAAATTGATACTAATTGAATTGGCAGGAAATATTTTGGAATTTTCCCATTTAAAGGATGCTGTCATTAATTATATGTGGAGCGAGGATGACACCATCGTCTACTGCAAATTTGTTCTAGTTTTTGTTTATTGTTAAGAACAAAGTTGCACAATGGCTTATCTATGCTGTGTTCATCGCAAGGATCGAACTCCGAATGTTAGTGTTATAAGTTCTCAGACTTACCGCTGAGTTTAAAAGTTACTGGTTTCAAAGTAAAGTTTCATTATCAGCTTGAATAAAAGTCTGAAACAGAGAAGGGGAAAAAAGTTTGATATGTAGGCGTATCATTCGTCTTCTACCTACTTTAGTTATATAGGAATTTTCGTTTATTTAGTTTGTATGCAATTTTAGCATAAACACGCGGTCCACAAAATCTTTGTCATTGCCTTTTTCTAATTGCTTTGTTTTCTCTAGTCTTGTTACGTCTCTGGTCGTTTGTTAATTTCCGGTATAAATTCTTCCCGAGGAATTTCAGCGATAAAAGTCCTTTCTTAAATAAAACTAGTTTATTCTTTCTCAATACAACTTTGCAATACACAGAATATCCACAGTTACTTTAACTTAAACACACGCTATAATTCACAATGATTCACGCACTTTACTTTTGGTCACTACCGCT